TTTTCAAATTTTTGTAAAAAAAAAATAAATATATATATATATATATATATATATATATAATTTTTTTTTTTTTTTTTTTTACTCCTCCACCAACTATTTCAGTCATTTTAATATCTTCTGTGTTTGATTTGGATATTGGTTCATTTTTGGCACAGTCACTCTTGTCTTAAAATATGTTTTACTGTCAGTTACTTCCTTTATTGACGTCGTAACTTCCTCTGCGTTTGCCCCCGTTTTGGAAGCGGATTGCTAATTAATTTAACACTGAAGGTTAGAGCAAGTATTATTTTCAGAAAAAATGGTAACAATTAGCATTTGTGTGATTTTTGTAAAGCTCTTTAATCCATATAAAATTTCATTCTGGTGCAAAGAAAACATTCTCATCACAAACAGTGCAGCTTATAGTGAATGCTGGGGTCTGGCAATGTGACATGGTATGTTCATGCCTGCATGATTTTGGAACAGATGTAATGTGTTTAATGGTTGACTGGGAAACTTTATCAGCCAATCGACTCAGATAGCTAGAATGCTGAGGAACTAAAGAGGCTATACTTCCCATGCGACATGCTAATGTTTGCAATCTGTAAATTGCTTAAGGGTGCCTTTTTGCTGAAATAACTGCTTTTATTTCCATACATCGCCTACAACCTATTATATCAGATTGTACTTAAGTCAAACTGCTCATCTTGAACTGGGCATCCAGTCGTGTGGCGTTAAGCCTGAGACTTGATGACTTCAATGGCCGAAAATACTTAATTTCTCTACTGTTTGAACAGTAATTTATGACACAGCTGGCCTTAAAGCTTGATGATGTTAACATTGTTATTTCTTTGAAATTAATTTATTAAAGTGCACATTATATTCTCTGGATGAGAAATGCAAAAATGATTTTATTATTCATTAATAAAGTATGGATTAACAAAACTGTTTCTCGCATGTTTTCTAAATCATTTTAAGGGGGAGTCACATCTATCCAGTATTCATCAACTTCACCAGATAGAACCAAAAAATATATTTTTCCAAAGCTCTAATAGAGTAGAATATTTAACGAATGGTTTAAGGGAAGTTCAGTGAAAGTCAACGTCCAGAAAACTTCTCCAGAGGTTAGTTTTAACATTTACAGTGTAACTATCAATGAATGTTTTCTTGGAGAGTTCCCTGAATGATGACTACAAAATTCTTTATGGTTGGTCTTTATGATTATTTTCACAGCAGATATATTCCCTAAACATAAAAAAAAAGCATATAACCTTCATTCAATACAGGTTAACCCTAAGGAACATCCCCCTGAACATAAGTTTCAACACACCGTTTTTCTTGGAAGAATCAAGTGTTCTTGAAAGTTATCTGCAACTTTTCTTTAGAGAACCTTCAGGGAGCATTTCTCAAAAGGTTACCTGAAAAGTAACCATAACTTTCACAATGCAACTTTCTTTTAGTTTCAACTGCAGCAGAGCTTTCTGGCAGCTGGAAGGGAACTTTCACCAGACTCCACGGGATCTTTCAGTGAATTTAATGTAATGTATTATGAACTAATGCTAAAATAATAATAATATAATAAATAAAAATAAAACATAGCACGATGCTAAT